ACATCATTTCTGACAGATGGCAATCCAATCTTTTCTTGAAAGTCTCAAGCGAGGGTGCTCCCACAACTTCTGAGGGCAAGCTGTTCCATGGGTTGATTGTTCTCACTGTCAGGAAGTTTCTCCTTATTTCCAGGTTGAATCTCTCCTTATTCATATCCATCCATTATCCCTTGTCTGGCCTACAGATGCTTTAGAAAATAGCTTGAGCCCTTTTCCTCTCTGTGGCAGCCCCTCAAATATTAGAACACTCCTATCATGTCTCCCTGGTCCTTCTCTTCACTAGACTGGCTATGCCCAGTTCCTGTAACTGTTCTTCATATGTTTTAGTCTCCAGTCCCCTAATCATCCTGGTTGCTCTTCTCTCTACTTTTTCTTGTGTCTCAACGTCTTTTTTACAATGTGGTGACCAAAACTGGATCCAGTACTGTAGGTGTGGTCTTACTAAGGCTTTATAGAGTGGTATTAGTACTTCCCTTGATCTTGATTGTATCCCTCTGTTGATGCAACTTAGGATTGCATTAGCTTTTCTGGCGGTTGCTGCACACTGCTGGCTCATATTTAGCTGGTTGTCCACTAGGACTCCAAGATCTCTCTCACAGTTGCTGCTATTGAGCCTGGTTTCACCTAGTCTATATGTGTACTTTTGGTTTTTCTTGCCTGATGAGCAAAGAAACAGAAGATTAATTTGGATTGTGATAGTTGTCCTGCTCTAAGAAAAAAATATTCCTTATTGGAGTAATCCAGGCTGAAGTCCACCCGCAGTCATGAAGGCTTAGTGGATGATGTTAGGTCAGTCACTGTCTCTCAACCCAACCTGCCTGAAAGGTTTGTTGTGAGGAAAAATGAGAGAACAGACATTGTGACTTTAGCTCCTGAATAAAAGCCTGTATATAATCAAGCAAAGAACAATCAATAATAATATGTAGGTCCTAGCATTACTGTTATGTAATTATTTGTAGAAATCCACAACAAGCTATGGAACCACATACCTTGGCTTAAACATACCTTGTTGGGTATGTACCCTGAGATGGTATGGTTACGTGAAAAACACTCACAGAACTTTAATATGTAAGTCAACAGTATCCATCCAAGCCTGATTGACTGCTTTTCCATGAAATGAACATGAAACTTCAATGCTAATTTTCCTCCAAATGTCTCCTTAATCAAAGGAGATGACCCTTTTTTTTTAATTTTAAAAGAAAAACTTTATTCGTGATTAAAAAAAGAAAAACACTATGTACAGTACATCAAATACAACTTAACATTGTAGACAAAATCTACATAGACAAATACAAAATAAACATATAAAACGTACGTTTCTAATCAACTAAGATGATGTGCTTTTTTCTTGGTATTTTACTACTATTCATTTCTTATCCGGTAAACATTCTTAATTTAACTACTCCATTCATCAAATACATATCTTTTAAATTCCTGTTTTTCTCTCTTTAATCCACTTATACCATTTATCCCAAGCTGTAATATATCTTGAGTCTTTCTTATTCCCAAGTTTTTGTGTGAGTAGGTCCATTTCAGTGCAGTCAAGTATTTTCTGACTAATCAAATTATTTGTTGGCATTAGTTCACCCTTTCAACATTGTGACCCTTTTAGTGGTGGCTTCTTACTCACTAAGGGATAGCAACCAGCTGATCTAAGCTGATATCTAAAAGCTAAGTCAAATCAGAACTTCTTAGAACTTGAATGGGAAACTACTATAGAAGGCTAGGATTATAGCCAATAAAAATAAATAAAGTAAATAAAAATATTCCGAGAAAAAAATGGCAAAATCAACTCCCTATTGCTGCCAAGAAAACTATATTAATGTATTTGTGAAGTCAGCAAGAACTAAATTGCATTCAAAGTAGACTTTTTTAAAACCTCAGTTAAGATGGCAGCCACCTGGCCCCTTCATTAATGTTGTTTGGTACAAAAGACATTTATGTTCTCCAGACCTTTTAACATCACTTCTATATTAATATTTTATTAATACTGATTTGATGGTATTTACACTGTGACATAGCAGTCCATTTTGTGATCGGTCTATTTTCATTAGATAAAATGATACAGTTCTTTTTTAGCCCTGGGGGTCACTTATAACTCTTCCAAACAATGGGGCACACTCCAAACTAGAAGTGGAGAGAAAATAAGACAATATTTGTACTGCAATAAAGCAATGTATTGACTGTTGTGCTGTGATATGTCCAGTCCTTAGAAAGCAAAGAACCCTTTCCTATCAACTATACCAGAAGACAGGTTTCAGAAAAATCCTTCTGCAAAAAGGGTAAGTGCCTGTCAGACTGTGATCATCAAATTATTGACTCATATATTACACTGTTGTATCTTCTACAGAGATAAGGAGAGTGAGCTCTTAATATTCCCTATCAGACCACTCTCGAGACTACCAAATGATTTTTATCAGGTTCTCCTTCTGGCAGACAGAGATCCTAAGATGACACACACTGCGGTTAATTTTGCATTTGCAACCTGCAGAATTCATTCTTGTCTAATGGGAAATTCATTTTAGATCGGGCTTGGATTATACTTTATCAAGCAGAGTATTGCATAGACTATATTGATTGCTTTTACCTTCTTTTACTGTTATCTTAGTTGGTCCTTCCATTCACTGACTAAAATTGTCCTATATTTGATATTATTATTTTTATTCTGATACATTTGGGTAGTCTGTGACATACAATGAAATATTCACAAAGACACTATTCTTTGTAAGGCATAGTTAAATTTAATGTATTTCAGTATCTCATCTAGATTGGAATTGAATCTTGGACCTGAACGATGTAGAAAAGCATTGCCCAAATTTCAAACTATCCAAGGAAAAGCCAATAATTCTAAAATCAGGACTTTCCACTGTACGTGAATTTTCTGGTTTGTGTGGTGATTTTGCCAAGTGATTTAACAACCTTTGTGCTTCTTGCCTTTATTGAATTTTTCTATATAAACGGACACCACATTAATTCCTAACTAAGTCCCAGTTTATTATTAACAACCAAGTGAATTGTTTATATTACTACGCTGTTCACGCCAGCTCCAATTCAGTGGCAGTGAAGAAACAAGTAGAACTTATGGTTGCGTAAATAAGTTTAGTGACAATACCACTAAGTTGGTTGCATTGATTTTCCATGGCACTGCCTGTTTCTTTTAGTGTTTTCTGAACACAAGTGTCAAACTTTTATTTTCTTGAGAATCCACTATCTTGGCCTCAAGCAGCAAAATTCTCTGGACCAGCCCTGTGGGTTGGAGAGTTAGCAAACTTCCTCATATTATTTCCAAAATTAGTTGTTTCATTACAATCTTCTTTACATATCTTGGCACTTTGGATGCTAAGATTCTTGAGGGCCAACCAATTTGATTCAAGCATATAGAAAAAAATATGTCTTTATCACCTTGAAAAAGAAAAGAAACTCCCAGAAAAGAAAATGCCAGACTGGATCACTAAATCCTTGTGTATCAGTTTGTATATCTAGCTGCTGGAAACCCTTAGAGAGGCAATATGTCATTGGATATTAAGTGCCTTTCCTTCCTATACCTTAACGT